TGAGTTGAAAGTGGGACATACAAGGCTGGCTTAGATTTTGCCAGTCCTCTTTCACAGTGGGGGTCAGCAAGTGATCGAAACTCTCAGGGCCTCGATTTCCCATCTGCAAAATGAGAGAATTTGACTGAAGTCCTAAAAACAAATAAACCAACATACCACCCAACGCTGATGCTCTGGCTCAGAGCTTCTCACCTAGAAAGCTGGGCCACTGCTATAGTGCCCAGCAAATGCCCACACCAATCCCTTAGTCCTGAGGCTGTGGGAGGTACGGGGTGCCCTGAAGCAGCCACAGTCCCCGGGCACATCGTCTCCGGCCCCAGCAGCCTCTTCAACTGATCTGCCCCAGTGTGGGGCACCGGGAGCACAAATGTTACAGTTCTTGTTTCAGGTCCTGACAAAGTTGGGAGGCATTGCATACACAGCCATGCAAGGCTGCAGATATCAGATTTAGGGGTTGTGGGGGTTTTGAAAGAAGAATGGGCTTCCTTTGAAATGTTGCCTAAGTTCCCTCTGCTCTTTCCAGTCGCACTGTTCTTAGAACACAGCATGCCTTGCGTTCTGATGTCCTTTCGAAAGGCAGGTTGTCTCCACCCAGGAGGTGGCCCCCAGGGCTACTTGCACAGGATCTGGGTGTCAGATCAGATGTATTGTTGAGCGGGTGGTGAATTTCAAATGAAATGGTGTACTTTCCTGTACAAAAGTGACACAGCCAAAAGTGACCTCCCCCTCCCATCTAAGGTCAGTAAAACCATACCCAGCGGCTGTTAATGAGGGCAGCAGCTTCCAAAGTGACTTCTGGGGAAACCTGGAATTCTTCAGAGATGTTTTGGTGGGCGAAGGAGCTCCACAAAGGTTTGATTCTAACTTCCCTTTAAGAATGCATATTTTTCTTGGAAGCTAAGCAGGGTCAGGCTTGGTTAGTACTTGGATGGATGACCACCTAGGAAGACCAGGTGCTGTAGGTGTAAAAATTAAACAAAATAAAAAATAAGGGATTGTAAGCTGACAAGGTCCTTGCAATCTGTGAGGTCAACCAAGGGTTGCCTCGCCTAAAAAAAAAAAAAAAAAAAGAATGCATATTTTAAACCTATCCTATAAACGGAATATTAAAAACTGTAACAATACAACGTGCATCCTCAAATGTGTTATAGGCGCAAATGTAAGATTACAAAGACGCTCTTTGTGTTAACCTGCGCTGCCAGGACTGTTCACGTCCATGTCGTCCTCAGGATAAAAAGTCCTCATCATGTCTGTGTAACTGAAGTATCTGGGCGTGGAAGGAAGGCTGTTTAAAAAACAAAACAAAATGGATACTATTTGCAAATTCTTGGCTGAATTAAATCAAGATTTCTCTATGCTGTGCAACCAAAACAAAACACAGAAATAAAATGGATGCCGGGGTTGGTAATATATAACTTGTTATCCCTAACCTTAGATTTAAAATGCTTTCTACTTATAGAAATAGTTTCAATGTTCTCATTGATTGGCTTTCAAAGCTATTCAAACTCATAAAATATATTAAAAAATTTTATCTGTTTTTGTAGAGTGAGAGTCCCATGTAACATTGTCTTATAAATCTAAAAACCACTGATGTGGTGCAAAGATCACAGATAATAGAATGAGACCTGAGCCCAATCCGGGCTCGGCCACTTCGTAGCCACTAGCTTTGGGCATGTCATTTGCCCTCCAGGTCCCATATCTACAAAATGGAGCTAATCATATCTACTAAACAGAGATTTTTATCTGCTGAGATATCATAATGTATCTAAGATATAATAAATATTAATAACTAGTTCCCTCTTCCCCACCCCCAACGTGTACAGATAGCATCGCAAGGCCCAGACCTCTCAGTCCCCATCATGATCAAAGATATTATTTGCAGGCCAGACAGTAGCTGGGAACAGCTAAGGCCCAGGGCTAAGCTGACTTGACCTTAACTGCCATCAGCACCCTTCTCTGACAACAGAGCCAGCCAAGCTTGGGATTCTTTAAAAGAAGCGTAAGCAATGCGACAGGCCAGGGGTATGAGGCTGTGGGGGTATCTCTGCGTGTGAACTCATGTTTCTTTATACATTTCACATTTTCTTCCATTTGTCTGCTAAAGCTCTTCAGTGGCTGCCCCAGTCAGCCAATCACAGTACTTGAGTTTGTGAAGAATTCTGTGGCATGCAGTCTCTTTAGCAGCTGGTACGCTTCCCCTCTCCCTGAGAAGTGCTTTCCTTTTCCATCAGCACTAAACAAACAAGTGGAAGAAGCTAGAGTTTCTCGCCACCACTTCACCTGGTACCCCTGAAAGTTGCAGCCCACTTTGCAAATACTTTTCTTGGCCCCAGAAGTCAAGGGAGGTTTGTTGAGAAGCTGTTCTTAATTTCTTGTTGAAAAATTACCCAAAACAGGAGGAAGGAGGGCAATTGTGCAAATTCCATTTGATTACTGAGCAGAAGCTACCAGAGCCCTCAGATTAAGTGATAAACATTCCTAGGGGACAAAGCATTTAACAGTTTTCACTTTACTATCACTCTATCACCCAGCATTCTCTATACCCAAAGAGGATTTAAAGAGCCAGATGAGTACTTTCCGGCTGATTACAGGGATTCAGCTGGCCTTGGGAGAGCTCTAAACTCTGAATGGCAACTGCAATGTAATCCCAATAGCTGGCCAACCTCAGCCTTCCCAGTTCGGACTGCCTGTCCCAAGACAATCTCTCTTGAGTCTTTTGGGCATTGTAGGTCAAATAAAATAAAATGGGTACAGGAAAGAATTTTGTCCCTGCCATGGATGGCCACTTGAAGTCTGGTCTGTGGACACCAGACACCATATGTAAAAGAATTTGTTTTGGAAGGAAGCCTTCGGCAACCTAATTTGCATTCAGAGGAAATGTGCTACATTTTCCACAACAGGCAGTCCAGCCAACAGCACCAGGAGGGAGGAAGCTCCCTCTCTGTCCGCAGGTTTATCCCTGAGTGCTACGGAAATAGCAGCTGCCAGGAGAAGGAGAACAGAGGACAGGGAGTCTTTTAATACTCTTGAATGAGTTGGATATCACGTTCATGACCTAAAAAGGCAATGGTTAGTTATTCCGATGCTTGCTGCGGATGCAGCCTGCACACAGCAGCAGCAGAGTATGTCATATCATCACTTGGCCATTTTGTTCAAGCCCACCCACCTGGTGTTACACACCGACCATCCAGTCCAACAAGCCACTTGTTCAGGCCTGGCAAGTGACAACGAACACTTCACATGTTATTCTGCTTTATGGCTTACAGGCCATGTGCACATAAGCTGGTCTTGTGTGAACTTCACAGCCCTACTGATTACAATCCCCTCTCGCATATCTTGAAAACTGAGGCTCAGAGGGTCAATAACTTGCCCCACATCAAAGTGCCAGAACCACACCTGGAGGCCAGGTGTTCTGTAGAAGTTTCCACTCCGAGGCTGCTTTTGTTACAAATGGACACGTTCTTCATATCCCACTGCTTATGCTCCACTATGTAGGTGAGAAGGAAGAGAGCCTGGCAGGTAAATCATCTTGTACTGCTTTTAGGTGGGTTATATGGAAGTGTTTCTTTTCTCACCAGACTGATCCCTGGCTACCCTATTAAAGTGGGTAGCTGGTGAAAATAAAGAATGGAAACCAGGTAATATCTCAAAGCCAACCTAACAGCAGTGCTGCAACAGATTTTCCACTGCTGGAAGAAATGTCAGACTTCCCAAAAAGTTCACTGCAGAATGCCCACCCAGTTATTAAGGAAATGGGATTAACTTACTGCATACAGGAGAGAAATCCCTTGGTAGTCACATGGAAAAGCAGGCTGTGATTGGAACTTTAATGTGGAGAAGGGAAAGTCAACAGGGTAGAAATTCAGAGCACAAGGTTTCCAAATCAGCAGCAGAACACCTTACGCATATTTACAGACTGGGTTTCCACCACAGTTGGATGTGCTAGGAACTCGCTGATGAACATCACATTCTGTTTCGTGCACTGCTTCCTTAGGAAGGGGCACATCTCACCAGGGAGAAGGGCAGATGCTGAGAGCGGAGTCCAAGGTTCATAGGCTTGCTAATTCTTTCCTATAGTCCGTTCTGTTTTCTGTCAACGGTAAGGAAATACATCCTAGCAAATGACATCCGGTAATGCTTTAATTAACTGTAGTATTTTATGCTCCAATATGTACTAAGAAATTACTTCCAGATGGGGAAACTGAAAGATATTTACATGAAAAAGCAATCCCTTTATTTTAAGGAAACTGGTAACTCCCATAGGTATCGAACTTTGAGGGTCCAGGAGTCTATCCCGGTAAGTACTAGAATGAGATTGGAAATTTTTATTTACTATATAAAATGCAACAGTACTCTTTATGCATGCCAGCTTTTCATATGCCCATGTTTCCAAGGCACTGTGTAAGTGGCCCGATGCAGTTCTCATAATTTTATTTTTAGCCATCTCACTTGGAGTAGACAAGAAGTGTGAAACACTTGCTTTCACCCTCAAGCAAGCTAGTTATTTTAGAGAATTCTCTTCCTAGGGAGTGGCATTACATTTCCAGCTGTGAGGTTTTGGCATTTTCTCTAGCATTCTATAAAGAGGGAACTAGGTTTTCCTGTCCAGTCGAAATTCGGGATGAGCTGGTATAATATCCCTCTCACCGCTCAGCAGCCTCAGACCCACTCACCCTGTCTGCCCTGTAGCTGTCACGCTGGTCTTTGGCGGTCTGCTCTCAGTCCTGCTTGTCTGCACTGAGGAGCCACCCTAGGCATGGGAAAGTGGGCACCCTCTTCTGGGTGGCGGGCAAAGTCCTAGGTACTGGTTCTGTGTTCTTCAAGGAAGGGAGGAGTGCCGATAGCTTTGATTCCAGAACTGAATTTGAAGGTCAAAGCACCCTGTCCTTCATGGTTCCCGTTTCACTGTTATGATCCCAATAGGACTTTCTCCAGCCTGGGCACCTCTAAGCCGGCTCTCAGGAAGTCTGTCCGTAATAAGAGCAGCAGTGAACTCTACATCAAGTATAAATTATTAATATTTATTTTAACCACATAAAGTGACTTCAAAGTTTTTTTTTTAAGGGGCTACAGAAAGTGAGAGGAACAAACAATAAGTTTAGCTTAATAACAGAGTTGTTAGTTACCGTTTTTACCAATATATGCCCCTTTATATTTGAAGTGACAGTAATAAACCTTCTCTTTGGGGCTGGTTCAACTAAACAGGAAGAATCCGAGTCAGTACGGGGAAAGCACAACTTCTGACATGGTCCCTACTGTTAACACAAGTTTAAAATGAAAGCTGCTGGCTATCAGGAAAGAATCTTTACCATGTTGGTTAACAGCTCAACTGTACAGTAATTACACTTGCTTAGAGAGACAGAAAAAATACACGTTTATGAAAATGTGCTATAGGAACCATTCGCTATATCAAATTTCTCTCTATTGCAATGGTTCTTAGCAAGGAATAAACAGTATCATCACCTACAGAATTTTTCAACTTACATGCCAGGCCCCACTCCAGACTTACTAGTTCAGAATCTCCAGGCATCTGTATTTGTAAAAAGAGACCCAGGTGATTCTGATGCATATCCCCAGCTGAGAAACATGGTCTGTCCTTAAAAGATGCACACAGAGCATTCAGACCCCGTCAATGAGACATTTAACATAACTCCTACTGACATCTGTTGACTCCTTGGAGATTACTGACAGCGCAATAAATCAAGAAAGCAACTTCCCTGGCTACGACCACCAACTGGCAGAAAACAGGGCTTGACATCTCAATGCCATTATGAAGAGGTCCAACAAATGAATCCCCCAAAATGACTCAAAAGTGTGGATCTGGAAACACCAAGAGTGACAAGAACCAGGTGCAGCAGCCCACTGGCTTTCCTGGCTTCCCAGGTCAGTCACAGATGGCTGAAGTGACTATGCTGTTTGGAGACGGAACCACTGTTCCCTTTTTTTAAAAGTGGGAAGAGAATGTTAACCTCAATTAGTGCTGGCTGTGTAACTTCACTGCACTGCAGCGACACGACGGCTGTCTGGGCACAGTGAACTCCATCTACTGAGTTGCCAGGTGCTCGCTCCACTCCTTCCCCTCCCTTCCTGTACTTTTCATATTTAGCCATCTTTTCCTAACTGAGCTCAGCTAAAGGCCACACCTCTTTCTTCCACCGCTTCTCAGTGTTCTCGAGTTTGAGATGCTCAATACATGAGTCAGACTGACTAGCAAGACCAGGTTGGAGGGTGATGAAGAAATGAGGCCCAGGAGCAAAGTTGGGGCTGATAGACTGAGTCTGGGCAAAGGGCTGATGGAGAGGGAAGGGTAACAGTGCAGAGTGGTTATAGTGGGAAGATAAGAAGGGGAGAAATAATTATAGTTTCTGGTCAGATTTTCAAACCTTAATGTTTCCCACTGTACGGCTGTCACAAATTTCAGGGATTTTTTAGGTAACTTCCTCCATCCTGAGTCTTATCTAATAGTCCAATTTTATCCTGAGGCCTGTTACAGGCATTCTCTGTAAAGAACTCCATCTTCCTCCTTAGCTCTGACCCTACCTGGCCAACAAATTGTTCGTAATTCCTGAACAAATGCTGAGTCACAGTTAATGGAGGCTTGGTTTCCAGTGAACCGGATGAATCAGGGCAAATATGTTGCCCATTCTCATGATGGGGGATGACGTACCAAAAGCCCCATGGCAGAGAGGGAACCTGCTTCCAAGGCCTGGCGCATATAATCCTCTTGGGTGAGAGACACAGAGGAAATCCTCCCTTAGACGTACAGGGAGAGGGAAGTGGAGATTACTGAGAAATAAGGGGAATAAGGGAAAAACTTGGCCACGTCATGAAAAGTACCAGAAGCAAAATATGCACCCAAGCTGGGATTTACAAAGAAGAGTGCTCCTGCTTCCATTTCCTTCATAAAGTAAGGCTGGTTTCCTATACCTGTAATCTGCCATGTCATTAACTCGGAACAACCTCAAATAGTGGCAGAGGAAGGGGTGAGATCCAGGCTTTGTCACTCAAGTTGCCTGGACAGGTGCATGGTAGGGAATAGGGCCACGTGCCAGAGCGTGTTACCGCAGAGAGAGGCTACGGAATCGGCGACAACCGGACCAGTCGAGAGCAGCCCAGAAACAGCAAGTGAAGGGCAGGGACCTTTCACCCAAATGCTGCCTCTGCTGCAAGAATCGGAGATCGTCGAAATTGCCTTTTTATAACCTGGCCCTTACTTGCTTCTCCGATTAGGACAGGAATTAAGACAGGGCATGGGAGAGACACATTAACAACCCAAATGTCTCAGGCAGTTTCAAGATTGGCGATCTGAGAGTCGGGGTGAGCACAGGAGAGGTGGGGGGCTTCTAGGGAGCTGGGTGCTCAGGGTCGCTGGCCAGGGGAAAAAGTGCCCCTTTTCTGCTCCTACAGTCTCTTCTTAATTAGTTTCTCTAGTTTGCGGATGCGAGATGATTCCTGTTCTGGTGTGGGAGCCAGTAGGGACAAGGAGCTGGAGCCTTCTGGCCCTGAGGGCGGGGTGGGGAGCCTCTGGCGAAAGAGCTCCAGCATGCAGCTCTGCTCACTCCTCTTCAGCCCCTGAGGTTGAAAGAGAAAGGAGGATAATGAGAAGTCTGGCCCCAGCAAGGCCCTAGGGGAAAGTACGGCATCTGGTATGCTGTTAGTTGAGGCTCCGCCAACAGCATAATCACTCTGGGCTGAGGATTAACACTTTCCTCAGGGGAGTTACCAGCCCTGGGTAGTAGCCTGGGAAAGAAGCAGAGGAAGTAAAAAAGGTAATAGAATAGGAGAGAAGGGGTTGAGAGAGAAGAAAGGATAGGGAAACAGGGTGAGGAAACTGATACATCTTTTCATTCTGCTAAGCAGTGGTTCTTGACTGGGCTTGGAGGTACCATCAGAATCAGGAAGCTAATGTGCCCAGGATCCTTCTCTTCAAGAGTCCAGATGGCAGCATGAGGCCAGGCATATGCACTTTGAGGAGGCTCCCCAGGGGCCCATATCCACCCCCCTTCCCCCCCAGTTAAGGACCACTGTGTGTGAGAAGGATGTGCAAGTGGACAAAACGAGACACTGAGCTAACCTTCATGTCCAGTATCTTCTGGAAGGTTTCTGTATTGCAGTCCGTAAGGAGTTTGATGTAGTTGTCTACAAATACCACGGACGGTTCGTGGGGGGCCATCACTACCTACCAAGGGAGAGAGACAAAAGCAGGCCCTCAGGGAAAGCTCATGATTGGGGGGCAGGGGATCATCTCTTTTGACCTGCAAACTGACCAGAGTCCATTATGGACTCTGCAAGATTTCCTTAAGTAGCAGCAACTCCAAACGCAGAAATGTCCTGATGGCCTACTTCATCTTAACATTCAATTAGAGCAGGATTTCCTAAATTTGCTGAATCATAAATATCATCTGGATTGCTTTTTAAGTGCAGGTTCTCATGTCCTTCCTCTGAAGATTCTAATTCTGAGGGCCTGGGATGTTTAAAAATACCCGGTGATTTTTTAAAAATATTGGCACCATTTAGGAAACGCTGTTAGAGGGTCTACAGTTTGAGATGTTTTGTGGGTTTGTGGTACCTGATGTTTTCTATCTTCGCTTATCATTGTTCCTGAGGACTGGGCAGCAAAAGGCACTGTGGATTTAAGTGGATTTCCTTAAAAACAAAAACCCCAAAGCTGCCTTACCCTTTTCAAGACTTAAAATCTGGAACTTCATTTAACTACATTCAAGAAATATACAAGCAGCAGGAAAGTAATGGCATTGCAATCCTCACATTCATTTCCATTTGGTTTTGAAATGCAGTGTCTGATTTTCTTCCTCCAGCAGACTAGTTTTGTTTCCAACTCCTGAGAAATGTAACTCAGAATGGTAAGGGGTAGTTCACTCAGAAATTCTCTGCAGATAATTCCCAAACTCTGCTCTCCTCCCTGGTGAGTAAACCAGCTGTGGAAGGAACTGATTATCAGGCTGCTTCCAATTTCCTCAAGCCGTAAGCTCAGGGTCTGTGCAGGACTCTCACCTGGTCCCACCAATGTCTCAGGTCCCACTGCTACTTTTTACTCCTGCCATCATTTGAGTCATTCTATGTGGGAGACAGACCCGAAGAGCCTGCAGGCCCTAAATTTTTAAGAGCATTCCATGATAGCGTCATTTGTTCTCTAGCCTTCTCCCAAACAGGCCCCCTCTCTTCTCAACGAGAAGAGGTGGAAATCAGATGCAGGTGCCCAAGGCTTCGGACGTTCTCAACATCATCACCCCGTGTATATTATTTTGTTAAATGGGGCTTTAGAAAACCCATTCGCTGATTAGAGTCAGTTGCTGAAACATCTGTTCAGAGTTCCCGTAAAATACAGTTTAGAAAGCCAAAGAAACTTATGCGGAAGGGAGTAACTGATAGCTGGGCCGGAAATTCCTGCGGAGAAGCAGAGAAACCTGACCTAGACACTGATTCACAGAGACAATCCCACCTAACTTCCAATCTTGGCCAAATCTTATTACAAGAGAATCTCATTATGACGAAAAATTCATTTGTCAGGAAGAATTAGGAACTGTCCACTGGCTTTCAACAATATCTGATGAGACCAGAATTTAGTTCCACCAAAGAATGTGAGACTGGTGGGGGATCGGCCCTCACCTGTGTTTTCAAAACCAGTACTCCTTGGAATAAGCGATCAGACAAACAGCCCGAGGAAAGAAAGAGAAACTCTGTGGAAGACATGAGCCCCACCTTGAGGATCATCTCCGCCCGGGTCATGCCTTTCACAACAATCTTGGTGTAGCTGGCAGGTGCTTTCCTCACCACCTGTGAGCCAATGGAAGGTAGATCCAGCAGGACCATCTTCAGGGAATGGGTGTCCAGTAGCAGCTGTGGGAGCAAAGCAGAATCCCATGAGCCACTTCATATAGACACAACACCTAATATATCCATGATGATTAATAACATTTTTCTGATTTTAAAGGTAATACGTTCTCATCAGAGAAAACTCAGGAAAAAAACGTAAAAGGAAAAACATTAGTTATAATTCCTATTACCCAGGACAAAATAAAAACAAGAAGCCAGAGTTAAATGTAATAGTCTCACCAGTCTGTGGGTATAAAAAACTAGAATTATATTGTATATACAGTTTTATAACCTGGCTTTTCCACTTAGTACCTGAAGGTTTCTGAATTCTATTTTACATCTTGGCAGTCTTTAAAAAAAAAAAAAATCATGATTTTTAATGGCTATATAGTACTTTATGGTGTGTGTGTGTGTGTGTGTGTGATTTTAGTGTATTTAACCATTTCTCCTATAATTTGTTTCTAGATTTTTATTATTACAAATAATGAATGCTGTGATGAATAGCTTTGTACATATAATTCTAATATATCAATGGCATTTCCTTAGGAGAGAGTCTTTGGAACAGATCAAAGAATAAGGACATTTTTGAGGTTCTTGATACATATCTTGAACTGCTTTCTAAATGAATGTACCTATTTACAAATCTGACAGTAGGGCTGACTGCATCATCATTGGCACTGGAAACTGTCATAAAAATCTTGCTTATTCAACAGGCAGAAAATGGTGACTCAGTATTGGTGTATTCTGAATTTCTTGAATGCCAGCGAAGATGTAGGAGAGTATACCAAATTTAAACATTAGTACCTTGGCAACGATCTGCTTTTTTTGTTGTTGTTGTTCCCTTGGATGCTAATTATTTGGGAGGACATCAGCTTTTCTGATTGCACACCAATTGCCAAGAATGATGCTAGGAATGTTTCATGTCATTTAGTCTTTACAAGACCCTGCCCTGTAGGTATTTATTGTTCCCATTTTATAGCTGAGAAAAATCAAAGTTCCAGAGGTTAAATAACTTGCTAAAAGTATCTCACACAATGGATGGGAGGATGAAGTGGACAGGAAGCTGTATTTCCATTTCCTGCTGCCTAGGTAAGTGCTAGAGGGCAGTGTTGGCTTAGAGCTCATACTGTTGTCTGTTGAGTCCATGTGTACTATGAACATGCTGCTCTTGGCAACCAGGTCACACAGAAATAACTGAAGCCTGATAACACTCTGGCCCATTGAGACAGTTTAAGAGAATGGAATCACATGCTCACCAACCAGACAAAGGTAGCCATGGGGCGACAGTCCCACGGCCACCACCACTACAACTCTGATGGTCAATCTTATGTTCAGGACAAGGCTTGCTGTATCTACACTGCCACTGGCTCTCAGAAAGCCTTCATAATTATATCAGGCAGGGATGGAATGGGATTTCTCTAGGCCCCGGGACACTGCATTCTCTCATTCCCTGCATTTTCCTATGGACAGGAGAATTAATGACTAAAGATAAGATAACCTCATTAGTGAGAACCACTATTAATGGTCATGGTGATTATAAAAACTTGGAGATTATATCAATGTTTTACTTGAAATAACTTAGATGAAAATATTACTCTTAAAAAATGGTGAGGTATCGACAAACTGATTCTAAAGTTTATCTGGAGATACAAAAGACCCCAAATAGCCAACGTGATTTTGAAGAAGAAGAACAAAGTTGGAGGACTGACAGTACTTGACTTCAAGATTTATTAAAAAGGTACAGTAATCAGGACAGTATGGTATTGGTGAAAGAACAGATAAATAGATCAGTGGAGCAGAATAGAGAGCCCAGGAATAGACCCACACAAATAAATTGATCTTTCACAAGGGAGCAAGGCAATACATTGGAGCAGTCTTTTCAATGAATGGTGCTGGAGCAACTGGACATCCACATGCAAAGAAAATGAATCTAGACACAGACCTTGCGCTCTTCACAAAAATTAATTCAAAATGGATCACAGACCTAAATGTTAAATGCAAAACTATAAAACTAGAAGATAACATAGGAGAAAATCTAAGTGACCTTGGTATGGTAATGACTTTTTAGATATAACACCAAAGACCTGACCCAAGAAAGAAATAACTGATAAGTTGGACTTCATTAAACTGAAAAACTTATGCTCTGCAAAAGACAATGTCAAAGGAATCAGAAGACAAGTCATAGACTGGGAGAACATATCTGTAAAGGATACATTTGGTAAAGGACTGTTACTCAAAATATACAAAGAACTCTTAAAACTCAGCAATAAGAAAACAAACAACTTGATTAAAAAAAAAATGGGTCAAAGATCTTAACAGACACCTCACCAAAGAAAATATACAGATGGCAAATAGGCATATGAAAAGATGCTCCACATCATACGTCATCAGGGAAATACAAATTAAAACAATACAGGTCTCTCTTCAACTAGGCAGCGAGCAGCCTCCCCACCACGTGCAGATCTTTGCGAAGACCCTGACAGGCAGGACCATCACACTCGAGGTCAAGCCCTGTGACACCACTGAGAATGTCAAAGCTAAAATCCAAGACAAGGACAACATGAGTGGATCTTGAGATAATCATGCTAAGCCAAATAAGTCAGACAGAAAAAGTTGAAAACCATATGATATCACTCATATGTGGGATATAAAACTCAAAGCAACAAACATGACAAACAGAGACGCATGGACATGGACTGTGGGTTAGTGGTTACCAGTGGGAAGTGGGGGCGGGAGAGGTAGATAGAGGAAAAAAGGGTCAAATGTTTGGTGACAAAAGGAAATCTAACTTTGGGAGGTGAACACACAATGCAATATATATACGACATAGTGTTGAACTGTACATTTGAAACTTATCTGATTTTATTAATCAATGTCACCCTAATAATTTTTAATAAAAAAAATTAAAATTTCCTGCAACTGAGGAAAAAAATAAAATCCAAGATTAGGGGTGCATCCTACCTGACTTTTGTGGGCAAACAGAGAATGGCCACACTCTCTCAGGCTGTAATATCTAAAAGAGTCCACCCTGCACTTGGTGCTTCATCTGTGTCGTGGCATCACCGAGCCCTCCTTCCGCCAGCTTGCCCAGACGTACAACTGCGACAAGATGATATGCTGCAAGTGTTATGCCCACCTGCATCCCTGTTCTGTCATGTACCGCAAGAAGTGTGGCAACACCAACAACCTACACTCCAGGAAGGTCAAATAAGGGCCCTCCACAGCCTCCTTGGCCTGCAGGGCGGCCTCCTGCCCAAACCCCTTGGCCCTGGGGCCTCAATAAAGTTTCCCTTTTGTTGATGGGAGCAATAAAAACCAAACCAAAACAATGATATACCATTATACATCTATTAGAATGGCCGTGAAATCTGGAATGCTGATACCACTAAATGCTGGTGAGGATGTGGAGCACCAGGAACTCTCATTGCTGATGGGAATGCAAAATGGTACAGCCATTTTGGAAAACAGTTTGATGGTTTCTTATAAAACTAAACATACCCTTACCATACAATCTAGCAATCATACTCCTAGGTTTTGATCCAAAGGAGTTGAAAATTTGTGTTCACACAAAAACCTGCATATGATGCTTTTAACAGCTTCATTTATAATTGCCAAAAATTATGAAGCAACCAAGATGTCCTTCAGTAGCTGAATGGGTAAACTGTGGTATACCCTGATGGAGTAGTATTATTCAGTACTAAAAAGAAATGGGCTATCAAGCCATGAAAAGACAGAGGAACCTTAAATGCACATGATCAAGTGAAAGAAGCCAATCTAAAAAGGCTACGTAATGTATGATTCCAACTATACGACATTCTGGAAAACTATGAAGACTATAAAGACAGTAAAAAGATCAGTAGTTGCCAGAGCTGGGGGTGGTGGGTGGGATGGTTAGGAGGAGTGCAGAGGATTTTTAGGTCAGTGAAACTACTCTGTATGACACTATTATGGTGGGTACGTGTTATTATACATTTGTCCAAACCCATAGAATGTATAATATCAAGAATGAACCATAGTATAAATACAGACTTTTAGTGATGATGATGTGTCAATGTATGTCCATCAATTATAACAAATGTACACTCTGTTGGAGGATGTTGATAATGGAGGAGGCTATGCATTTGTCGGGGCAGGGGCAGGGGGTATTATGGGAACTCTCTGTACCTGCCCCTCAATTTTGTTGTGAACCTTAAACTGCTCTAAAAAACAAAGCTTTAATTTTAAAAAATGGTGAGGAAGCTACACTAAAAGTAATTTCATGCAGTAATGTGGCCAAAGGCCTAAACTCTATGTCATTCAACTGCAGACCAGGAAAATGCTAATGCATTTGGATTTTTCTAGGTTTCCAGAGATGAAAATTCTTACTTCCCAAGTATTTGTTTTTTGAAGAGGCCATAGGCTCACAGAGAAAGATACCCAGGCACGCAGAGGAGAGACGAGCATAGATTGTCTGAGGCCCATACAATGAGCCCGCATCAATCAGAACACTTCCCACAGCCCCACTGGAAATGATCACTGCTGTCCCTCAGAGGTAACCCCATACATGCCTCTAAAGAATAAGTATGCTAAATTCCAAGAAGATTAAAAACCTAGATATAAAAAGAAAAACATTAAGGAAAAAAAATAGATTATTTTTATTACTTGTGGGTAGAGAAGAATGTGAAACACCAGAAAGATTGAAAAATCTACTACTTTAAAATAAGTTTATATCAAAGACACATAAAGCAAAAGGCACAAACCAGGAGAAGATATGTATAATATTGGCAAAGGAATAATATTCAGAACATATGAAAATTTCTACAAATCAGTAAGAAAAAGACCAGCAACCCAAAAGCAACAGTAACAGCAATAGTAGGGCAAAGATCTGAACAGGCAATTCATGAAAACAAAAACTCAGGAGCTCATAAGACATGTGGAATGACATGTAATGTAATAAGTAATCCAGTAAATGCGAATTACAGCCATAATTGTATAACATTTTATACTCATCAGAGAGGCAAATGTTAAAAAGGCTGATAATACCA